ATTTAATAAGTTATAGGTATCGTGCCTAATGCTTTCTTTATCTCACAGAACACGAGCCAAGTAGGGTATGGTTGAGTTTGTGTACTTGCTAGTGAGAGCATATATAGTTTTCTATATAGGCTTCCGGTGCCATTTGACGGCCTCCTCAATGTATGCCCGATAAATCCATCTCCATTTTCTCCTACATATTTGTTGAGCGATCAGCTCTCGCCAGTTGGTTTGTTCCACTGCTGAGTTTCTCGCTTTTTATTCTTTCTGGTCATTTGATCTTCAGTAAAGAGTCAGAGGAGGAGGCAGCTGTTTGTTGAAAGTCTGTAACCGACTGTTGGAAATCCTTTTCTTGACACACTGGCCAGTTTTCTGACCCGTATAGAAGAAATGACAGACTTAACATTTGTGTTGAAAATCCGAATCTTGTTGTTTTTGCTGACTGAATGAGAGCAGAAGATTCCCCGGACTGGTTTCAGATTGATGAAGGCGTATCTTGCCTTTCCAATTCTGCCTGGTTGGTTGTATTTGACATCGTTATCCGTCCCAGTGGCCTATGGTTGAAACTATGCTTCCTAACCAGATAAGTGAGGGAAGTAACCTCTGTTAAATCTCTCCCGTTGATGCTGCTGGTTGTTCCTGCTGTTGTCAGTTGGTTGGTTATCTTCACCTCCGTCTTCTCTATGTTCACCTGGAGTCCTGTCTTTGCCACCTGCAAGCCAGCCTATTCTGTCAGTTTGTTGGTTTTCTCCTGTAAATACTCGAGTTTGTGTAACATTAAACATAGATCATCCAAACGCGAATTCCAAGTCTTCTAGAGTCTTCTTATCGGTCAGTCCAACGAACTCCTGTCTGGTCGCTACCCACAGTCTGACGCATAATCCAGTCCACCACAATTAAGACTATCATCGGTGATAGAAGATAGCCCTGTCTTACTCCTGTACGCACTTCGATCGCCTCGCTGAGTTTTCGAATGTGGATCACTTGACACATGGCATTGTCACATAGCCACCTGTTGAAAGAGGTTGATAAAGAGTTGAGGTACGCCATAATGTTCAAGTAGTTTCCAAATTACTTCTCGGTCAGCGCTGTCTGGTGAAGGCATTTTCGAAGTCGATGAAATTGAATTAGAGGTTTGACTGGCATTCTATGCTTTGTTCTGTAATGACAATGCGTAGAGTTGCAATTTGATCGACACATCAATTAAATATACCACAATCTATTTTCGTTTATTCAAGACTTGAACACTAGAGACATTGAAAACTGTCTTGGTCCGTTTATTCCTAAAAATAGGGTGGTCTATCTGTTTCTGAACAGACTTAAAAATGAGTACTATCCAGGTTAGGTGTACATGAAAGCTTTGTTTATGTTCTATCTTTTTGATGCTTTCTGAATTCATATTTCTTGTATGAGCATATATGACTGTTCTGTCACCCTTCACAGAGCCAATAACTTTTCGAAGGTTTCTTGACTGTCGTAGAGAACGAAGATCTTGAAGGATTAATACCAGATTTGATTGAATATATGAAATCACCTTCAGAAGGATTGTAGAGACTCATTCCCCCTATGAGATTCAAATCAGCGATGGTGGACCACTTAGCTTGGTGACCACATTGGAAACTTAACTGATAGAATTCGGTCTGCACCAACCACAGGAATTAGGCGCACCAAACATTGCTGCTGTCTAGTGTGACCAATCATGAGGTTAGTCATGAGCCTGAATAGCTCAATGCTATCATTTCTGACAACATTCAGGTTCTCAACACCAATGTTAAGTCAGTCAATTCTTCTCTGCTGTTTAGAGAATTGATGCATGCGTCATGAAAAGCATTTTGAACAGGCCACTGCGGACATTAATCAACGGCTGCCTTCACTGGCTCCATAATATAAAGGTCAGATGCCTGGCTAGAAAAAAATAGCAACAACAACCAATCAGTCAACTAGCGCTCAACAAATATTCTGTGGAAAATATAGATGACTGTGAGGTCAACTATATAGGTGAAACTAGTAGATCGGGGGTAATCACTTTGTCGCAACATAAGAATTTAGCTAAGGTATGAATGGTTGACCCTGAAAAGATAAGTAATTTAGAAATAAGCTCAGCGATTGCACTGCATGCATTAACAGACAACCATACAATGGTGTCGGTGAGACAGAGTCAAAATTCTAAGAGGTAATCTAGGTAGGTATATATAGAGAGAGATTGATTAATGAATCCTGCCTGGTTTATCGAGTCCACCTTCACCCAAGACAACACATGCAACAGAAATGACTCAATGCAAATACCAGAGATATGCATGGAAGATATTATTACCACCAGTCAGTCAGTCAAATCAGAGGAGGATAATAAATAATCTCAAAATTCTATTTCAATTCACGTACATTGTAACATCCTAACAAGTTACTTATTATGACTATAAAAGCACTCGTCTTATTTCCCATCTGATTGTATTTGATTGATAACACTCATATTATCATTATTTCTGAATGTACATTATCATATATTGATTTTTATTCCAATATCTAATCATCAATTCCACTCATGTATATAAATGAAGCAAGAAAGTTGTGTGAGTAGTGCCCTGATATGATTATGAGTGACAATAGTTTGTGCTCGAAAAGCGGTCATCATCAGTTAATATTGCTGTATAACAGACACACTGTGTGACTTATCAAAACAAAATCTTATCCATAATGGAGTTATACTCTACCACCACAGTGCCCAAGTTTTATACTTATATCGAAAATAGAGATGGATTGGTCATACGCGACTGAGGAGACTGTCAAATGACATCGCACACAATGCAGCCCGTCACTGGAGCTGAACCCGGAATGGAAACGGCGAGTGGGGTGTCCAAGAGTGACATGGAAGATGTCATATAAGGAGGCGATGAGAGTGTATGGACAATAGTCAGGCCAGATAGAGAGGATCTCAGAGAACAGGACAAAGTGGAGGTATGCTGTTGAATCCCAATATTCTACTCGGAACCCAAAGGAAAAATAATAATAATCGTTTCTGACTGCAGCAATAGGTGATATGCATTCTAATCCCAATGGGGAAATAAGTTCTTTCAACTTTGCAGATACACCTTGCTGACGTATGCCAGCAAGCATGAAACCTAGGAGCCAGGGTTTAATGCCAACTGCCTTCAACGATCTAACATCAATTCAGAGTGTGTCGCGATGGTGAGCTACATAGTTTAGTGAACACAATGGAAACTTAACTCATAGAGTTCAGCCTACACAAACACCGAGGACTGGACTCGTGTAACTGACTACTCCATTGCAACCGATCAGTGTCCAATCAAACTTCCCACAAGATCCAAAATGTGAAATTCAATCTCATCAATAAAAGCAGATGAAATCTCAACATCCTAACTTGTCTATCCTATCATGTACTGATTTTACTAGTGTGAATGACTTATTCAAGTAGAATCTGATAATACTTATAGCAGTATGTAAGCTGTCACCAATTTAAATTTACTTCCCTATCGATCCGCCTATCTAAATGAACCCAACAGAGGCGGTAAATTAGAGTTTTGAATTCCCTAAGATAATTAGTGGCTTTATATGCTTACCAGAATGCTGTAATCATATCAGACATTACAGCTGACTGTTTTAAAGCTGTTTTGTCCAGTCTGTTTTTACACAGCTTATATATCTTTTGTGATGTTCGCTGTACAACGACTAATTATTTATTATTATTGTTTCTTTTAATTCCTAGAGCAACATAGGGCTTCAGCCGTGCGTCTCCATTCCATTCGATTCTCTGCTAGAGTTTTCACCTGGCTCCAAGTCTGCCCACACGTTTTCATCTCCTCTTCACATGACCCTCCCCAAGTCACCCTTGCACTGATGACCACCTCGCCGCTTCCCTTTCGGGTTCCACTCGAGCAATGGCTTGTCTAGTGATGTCACTTGATGGTTTCCTCAGACTATGGGGAACAATCAATCCACCTCCATTTCTTCCTGCTTATTTGTTGCACAATCGGTTCCTGCTCTGTTGGTTCGCTCATTGCCAGAGATCCCTGTTGCTGATCTTTTCTGGCTGGCCATCTGATAATCAGTATTGAGCGAAGACAGCTGTTAGTGAAGGTCTGTAGTTTGTTTGAGATGGTCTTTATGACGCGCAGTGCAACTCTCTGATCCGTATAGTGAGTAGCACTGACTTCACATTGGAGTTGGAAATCCGGATCTTTATTCATTTTCCTGCTGAGTGCTGTTGACCTCCACACAGACTTGAGAGTAGTGAAAGCTTGCCTTGCTTTTCCGATTCTTGCTTTGATATCCTCGTCAGCTCCGCCTGTAGTTGAAACGAAGCTTCCCAGGTAGGTAAAGGAGGTTGTTTCTTTTACGTTCCTCCCATTTATGCTTATTGTTATCTGTTGTTGTTGCTGCTGTTAGTGTTGGTCAGAAATCTTCATCACCTCCTTTTTCTCTATGCTCACCTGAAGTCTTATCTTCTCTGGATGCTTTTTCTACCAACTTGTTGCTTTTCACTTGCATATCTTCCAGTTTGTGGGAAATCAGACAATTATCATAGGCGAAGTCCAGGTTCTCCAAGTAATTTGTGTGGGTCCATTTTATGCCTGTTTCCTCGCTGTCCGCCGCTGTCTGTCGCATTATTCAGTCTATCGCAATCAGAAAAATCATTGGCGATAGTAGGCAGCCAGCTTGTCTTACTCCCGTCTTCACTTCGAAGGATTCCGTAAGTTTCCCGCTGTGAATTACTTGGCGTGCAGCATTGTCGTACAACTGTTGAATGAGATGTATAATTGTCGGCGGCACCCCATAGCGACTAATCCTATACGCGAAAACACCTTACGACATTACTTGTATCCTCCCTCACTCAATTTAGATGAAAAGATAAGCAGTAGATTCTTCTATGTGAAAACTAATCAATAAATCAATAATACACCTTATTAATACTTCAGTTAAAGAAAGAGAGCAAGATTATCATAATGTCACCATCATCATTACTATTATTATTATTATTATTATTATAAATAAATATCTATATTCATGTGAATCACATACATGAGTGTTTCGTTTGGTGTATTTAAACAAAAAATCTTAAAAAAGAGGGTTCATTAACATTAGAACACAATGAGATGATATATACTCGAAGAAATTCAGTTCAGTAGTGAGTCAGTTAGTTGTTTATTGATTTTTTTCCTGAAAATTTAAACAATTGGCGCTTATTTTGTATGTGTGTGTATTTGTATATACTAATGTAAATTTTGTTTAAAGTGAAATTAGCGCGCGCGGGCTTTTAAAATGTGATTTATATTGTACACATTGAATACATATATATATATATATTTGATCGATTTAAACAAAACTAGCCTCTCTAAATGTTTTATACGTATATTTGCATGGATTTGATTGATTAGACAATAGATGCATTGTTGTTGATGTAGGTGATGTAGGATACCATTTTTGTGGTTGTGTAAATTTATTGAGATTTGAATTTATATCTTCACCTGATGAATTGTTCATATCAATAAGCATTGGAAGGGAATTTGTTGATACTGATTTAAGGAGACCGGAAACACCCTGGTGATTGTCACACTCTTCATTATTCCCATCATCTACATCATCATCACCACGGTCATCATCTCCATCAGCTTCATCATCACCATCAACATCCTGATCCTCATGAAGGATATTCTCATGATAATTCAATTGATTCGTCTCAGTTTGTTGATTGGTCGATTGTTGATCATGTGACATTTTGGCAAAATTTAAATTATTCGGTATTTCAGTTAAATGTTCATTATCATCATCATTAAAATCCCTATCATTGCTATTATTATTATTGTTATTATTACTATCAACATAATTCGAATTGATTACATCATCTGGTTGCTGTAGTAACTTTTGATTTTCGTTATTTTCATTATTCCTATTCTCTAGCAACAGTAATTGTTCACATTCTAATTCATCTTTCAATGGTGTAGACATGTGATATCTTGTCTTGTTGGGGTGATAAGGCTTTAAGTTATTATTAGAATACATTAGTCTAGGCGTCAGTGTTGCAGCAGTTGACGGTGTTGGTGTAAATATACCACCAGTATGATGTTTTGGTGTATGCAATGTTTTGAATTGATTTCGATTGGTTGTTGATACTAATCGATTCGAATGATGCGCTTGGTGTTGCTGTTGTTCGGGGTGATGATGATGACCTTGATGGTGACCTTGGTGATTATAAGTCATCATTGGATTTGAATGTGTTGTCATAATTATCGATCGACGATTATGACGTCTTAGAGTAGCTTGTAACAGGGAGATATCCTGATAGGTGGAAAGGGGATGATGAGGATGGGGGTGGTGTGGCGGTGGTAAATGTTTTCCTGGAATCGCTTCAACTGGCATCTGATGAAATGATTTTAAATTTGTTGTTGTATTTTGTAACTGATTCATTGGATATACGGGTAATGAGTCTCCACGAAAGTGGATTGGATGCTTGTGAGAGTCTGGTGATGCGGCATAGATTATTGTAGGGGATTTGGGCGGTTGTACTGCTTCACGATTGTTACCATTATCATTATTATTATGATTAAGTGTGGTCTCTAAATGGACAAGAGATTGATGGCTCACATCCATCGGTGTACTGGATTGTTGTAGATGAACTGGTACCCAATTTCGATAAGCATTTCTCATTCCAACCTGTTCGATCATATGTTGTGGGGTATGATGCGATCGATAATCGAAGAAGGGAGTTAAACATCGCGAAGAATGAGCATTGGCTGTCGTCGTGGTTCTCATCATTACAGCGGCGGTTCGATTGTCAATCACTGGTGCTAGACTTTGGTATTCATGTTCAATAGCGAATCGTGAAGTCTGTGGACGAAATAGAGATTTCGGTGTGTAGGTAGAGTCAGTGAGATTATTTTGTAGTTGAGGTGTAAACAAGGCCGATTGGACGGTTGATCTACTCATATTTGTGTTGAAGAAAAGACGTGGTTCAGAATTACGTCGAATAAGCGGTTGAGAACCTGAATCAGATAAAATAAATTAATAAAAATTGATAATTTATATATGTTCAAACAAAGTTCACTTTTAACAGTTTGAAAAAATATTTGGCCATTGGGTATATGAAATTCATTTGAATAAAGGTTTTTTTGTATTTCCCAATGAATGAAAAACAAAACGATATTGTTTTCACTGACGTTTCGCTATCTAACGCTGACGGCTTTATCAAAGTAGCATTATTAAACGAGAATTTACAAAATATCAGCATATACATAACAAATAGTTAAGAGGTGAGAAAATAGACAAGTTAGGTCAAGTTAAAAAGGAGGACATATTGAAAGTCAAAATAACAATGAAGATCACTAAACCAAATAACAAAGGTAGCAATAGGACATCTGTTATGGTATCAAAACATGCAAGTTTACTAACTTGATCATCGTTCGTCTGTTTGGGGTCATTTTTCGTTGTCAAGTTGACCAATTGGTAAAGATAACAAAATCAAGTGTACATTGTTGGATTTGATAAGTGTGTAAAATTATAAAGGCAGTGTGTGTTTACATAGTGAACTTGCTTATCACATTCGTGTTGATTTTGTCATTTCATGGAGGAGGGGGTTAGCGTTGCAACCAGGTCAGATTCTGTTTTAGTCCATCATTCCTATTCAGACAATTTGGATTCCACTTGATATGAAGTGCTTCTTTGTGATTTCTGAAGTTTTTCTGGATTATTTCAATACTGTCAAAATCAATTTTATGGCCTGATTCTATAGTGTGTAGACCTAAACACGTCAGACGATACTAGAAGAGTACTCAGTACGCTCGACATCAGAGTTTTATTGAAAAGATCAAACACACTGCGAAACAACCTTGTCCATATAAAAGAGCAAATCTCTAAAGATTCTCTATCTAATTGCGTCCATAAAATAAAATGCTTGGAATGTGATGCAATATATATCGTAAAACATCTCGAGAAATCAAAATCCGAAGAAATGAACACTGCAGAGCATCTGTTCGGCCACCGAGAAATCCAGTTGAACTAGAAAAGCTTGAAAAGTCATCAGCCATAGCTTGTCTGCACGCCATAGAATCAGGTCACAAAATTGATTTTGACAATATTGAAATAATCCAGAAAAATTTCAGAAATCACAAAGAACGTCTCACATCATTAGAAGCACTTCATATCAAGTGGAATCCAAATTGTCTGAATAGTCTGTATGATGGACTAAACCAGAATCTGACCTGGTTACAACACCTCCCTCCCCTCCCCCATGAAGTGACAAAATCAACACGAATGTGGTAAGCAAGTTCACTATGTAAACACACACTACTTTTATAATTTTACACACTTATCAAATCCAACAATCTACACTTGATTTTGTTATCTTTATCAATTGGCCAACTTGACAACGAAAAATGACTCCATACTGACGAACGATGATCAAGTTAGTAAACTTGCATGTTTTGATACCATAACAGATGTCCTATTGCTACCTTTGTTATTTGGTTTAGTGATCTTCATTGTTATTTTGACTTTCAATATATCCCCCTTTTAACTTGACCTAATTTGTCTATTTTCTCACCTCTTAACTCTTTGTTATAAATACATGCTGAGATTTTGTAAAATCTGTTTTAATATTACTACTTCGCTTGTGGAGCGAGTTATATTGGCCGTTGCTCTAGGAACTTGATTTTTCGTGCTGGAGAACATTTCCCACTATGTCTAAGTAAAGGTGTAGTTAAAACTATTAACAGCTCGATATTAGACCATCCGGTGCAAACCGGTCACAAAGCCAGCGTAGAAGAATCTTTCTCTATAATATACTGCGTGCCTAACAAATTACCAAAAACATCGAAGCACCGTATGCTCAAAACACCAGAGGCTATTGCAATTCGCCTCAGACAACCAGCGCTCTGTGTTCAAAAGAAGCAAGTTCAGCCCCTACTACTGCTCTGGCCCTCAGTAGAGACTATAAACTCATGAATTTGTACTATTACCTTTCCTAATTCTTCTGACGTTCAGTGTGTATTGTTATGTTGATGCTGTTCAGCTGCAATCTATCAATATTATTGATTCGATGTTATTTAAACAACATTAATGTTGTTAATAACACTAATTCATTCATTCACTATTACGAATGGATATATAACTGTAGAACCTGATGATGAAATTATCGAAAAGAGTACGCTTTTTTCAGTATCCATTTTTTTGAAAATTTTAATGGGCATTTTTAATCAGTTAAAATAGCGAAACGTCAGTAAAAACAACAATATCGTTTTGTTTTTCATTCATTCATTGGGAAATACAAAAATCTTTATTATAATGAATATCGATAATAGTAATAATATTAATAATCACTTTATTCCAAACAAGCGGGTCATGAGCTATTTTCTGACATCCGCCTCTACACATAACCCCCCATGTTACATATGTCACACAAACTCGAAGACTTACAGGCGAAAATCAACAAACTGGCTGAAGAAGAAACAGTAAAAGACAGGACCTCAGGTGAACATAGAGAAGGTGGGGGATTGGGTGACGAAGATATCCAACCAGCAGCACCAATCACAACAAATGAGCGATATTCGAAAGAGATCTATCTATCCCTTCACTTATCTGAAAATTATCATTTCAACTTCAGGCTAAAGTACGGTTGAGGATATCGAAACCAGAATCGGAGAGTCAAGGCAGAACTTCGTCAATCTGAAATCTGCTGTACTGATTCAGAATAATGAACAAAATTCGGATTTTCAACACCAAGGTTAAATCAGCCGGTTCTTCCAAATGAGTCGGAAACTTGCACTGAGCACCACGAGTAGCATTTCCAACAGGTTGCAGATATTTATCAACAGCTGCCACCTTCACTGGCTCCATACTGAAGATCAAATGGCCAGCTGGCCAGAGATAATTAGCAACAAGCGAACCAACCAACCAACCTATTGCACAACAGAAATTCCGAAGAAACACACTTTGAAGAGACAGTCAAATGACATAGCACGCCAAGACATGGCTCAAACGGAACACGAATGAGAAACGACGAGTTGGGCTTTGGTTCAAGGGTGACGTGGAGGAGATCGTATGAGGAGGAGATGAGAGGGCTAATTTAAACTTTAATCACCACTAGCTATCTACCAACCAGCAAACGACCTTCGACGATCCAATCACATGATAGAGGTATTTATGAAAAAAATGCGTAAAAACTGCATAAAACTGTTACATAGGGTATCTTTCTCTGAGATGTGACAAAAACATCTCCCAATTTAGCATAGGAGTATTAATAGAAAAGTTACACCATATTCTGTACATATATTCATCCAAATGACTATAAATGAGATCCTTTTGACATCCATTTGTAGCCCCAATCCTGTTTTTTAATCTCCCCCTAAATCCTACTATAGAAATGGTGTGTGTCCCCGTAATGGGATCCACAAAATCACTAGAATGGTTCATTCTGTGATGAATATATCCAAGAGATGACAGAGAGTTATAACCCTTCCATTAATCAGTATGTACTATAGATGCCTGTTTCACCAGTCGAGTTATAATAGGTACTAAGGTGGTTGACTTTCTGTCTGCTATTCGCTCAACGAATCCTTTCTGTAGCTGGGTGGGTGTCATATAAGACAATTACCCAAACATTGTTTGCTCGCTCACGATCACGGTTATATATATATTTTTTGATAAGACAGTTTCGGCCATATGTACGATGACACCTTCTCCTCCGCCTAATAAGGAAGTAATTCTCTCCAATTTCTATGTCTATGCGATGTCTTTTTGCAGTGCTGGTACCACAGAACTATGCATGATACGAGACTATTTTCAGTTTCAACAGCTGTGATGAAGTTTTCTCAGGTTGTACCCGAAGAGATACAAGGAGAAAGTTGTGAATAATGAAGAGGATGTCCACTATCAGGCAGATGCCTTTAGCCGATTACTTACAACATTTAGAATGGCTATCAATACCAATGTTGGTTAGCTGGATTAATAGCACATCAATAACCCTTCAATATTCTACTTAATGTTACAGTCTTTCTTGGAAACCCAGTGAAGAATAAATGGGGTACAATAAAAAAGAATAGTTAGAACACACGAATCAATGAACTTTAGGGGAAGAAGTTCATTGGATTCCGTTCACCCAGTAGCTGGATGGTTGGTCAACAAGATCACCTGACAACCTGAAGCTTCCAGCCCACCGATTCCTTGCAGTGAAGTAATGGCTTTGTACTGCTGAAGAGTCCCAATGGAAGACGAAATGGCAGTTCAGTACTCACCGAATGGTTTTCAATGGTCATCTGACTGAAGTCAGTTAGTGTATGAACAACCTTTAAATCACCCGAATCTCTGCAAATCAATACTTGACAGATATTACTATTATTATTATTATTACTATTATCGATTAAAGTGTGTTTTTCCTGTATTTCATTGTTTTTATTCATTTACAAAAGTTAATTTACAACCCTAATGGATTTACAATCTATATTTTTGTCTAATAGTCAGGTTCTTTAAAGTTTCTAAGTTTGTCTCTTCCACTTATCTTCATCTTCGCTTCCACCCTCTCTCTCGCCCTCATTTGTAATATATATATATATATATATATTCTTCTTTCGTTCTAACTAACCATATTTTACCCTCCTATTTTGATGTGGTTTGTGTACATATACATTTATATATATGTATATTTGAATGTGTTCGTGTGCGCCAGTAAATTGGCGCGCTTTTTTCAAATATCCAGGATGCATTAATTTAAACAACGCGAGCGCGCGCGCACACACACAAAACAACATGCATTAAAACAAAATTTATACATCATAAGTGTATATGACACTCCATTTTGAAAAAGAAGTCATTACAAATGATTAGTGTTTTTTTTCTGTTTTTGAGTATGATAATATAGAAATATCAATTTAGAAGTATTACCAAATAGTCTAGGGTATATATATATATATATATTCAATGTGTCATACAATCTGTTTGCTTTCTGTCCAATGTGTTCAATATAGTGAGGCATGTAATTAGGTCAAACGAA